ACTTTATTACATTAATATTATTTATTACATTAATTATAATAGATACTATATCAATTATTTTAACATGCAATTATAGCTTGTTATATAATACCAAACATTTTTCTCTCAATATATCTATCTAAATTTTTAAATACCTCAACAAAATTGTATTTTCGTATATAGATTTGGCATCATAAGTCTTTCTTTAATATTTATGATTGTTGAACCATCAAAATAATTATGTGAGAAAGTCAAATATAATGAATAATGCTATAAAAAGTTTTGATATTGTAGCAATCAGTTTGACTGTCCTACGTAATTATTTTGATCCAACTAAATTATTTGCAGATCTATATTTGATAAATTTTTAGATATATACTTCATCAAAATTATTATTATTTTTTTTTAATTGTATCAGAAGCAACTGCTGTGACAATCATTTTGCTGTTTTATATTTGTTGAAGGACACATCTGCCATTCAGAATCTTCTCTTTTTAAAAAAAGTATTCGCGATTAAGCAAAGGCTTGAGTGTTACTAAGGCGCGACGAGTGTAGGAACATGCTTGCCATCGCGTTTTAATTCACGCATTTGTGAACATAAAAATGTCGACGAAGTAAATTACAAGCTGGCGCGGCGTTCTAATGAGGCCCTCTAATATAGAAATTGTTCCGAACTGTCATTATCGAGATAAATGACCGACGAGGGCCGCGGCTCGTAGCTGGGGACGAAAGCGGATCGTTTTTGTGGGGAAACGGGATAATGGCCCGTCACTTTCGTTTCTTTTAACGACCGAAAAAGGCGTCCGGAGCGGGGATTCGCGCGGTAAAGTCACTCCATAATCCGTCGCGCACATTTAGATGGCTATATTTCATAAATGGAAGGTAAATTGACCTAAATAGCTAAGAGAGTCGCTCGATAGGTACGAAATTACTGTGTGATAAAGAAATTGTTATCGTTAATCAAAGTAATAGAAATTATTATTATTATTGTATATGTGCGAACATTTTTTCAAAGTAATTAACGATTGCATTTTGTCTTGCATTATAAGCAGATCTGAATTATTCATTCAAGCAAAATAATCAAAATTTTTTATCAAGAAAATTTATTATTTTTTGAACAACAAAAAGAATTCTTTAATTTAATTGTGATAATTTTTACTATTGAATTTTTAAGAATATAATTCCACTAACTTAATTTTGGGAAATTTGTGATTATTTATTATTACGATTATT